AAAAAAAAAAAAAAAAAAAAAAAAATTGGTAAGTTAGGTAGGTACATATTTGTGTAAAATTTCTTTCTTACCGACTCCATCGAAATAATGCGTGTACTGTACACAAACGTCGTTATTTGCTAGAACGCAAGAAGCATTTCCCCTGTGGTTCCTCCAAATATAATGCACGTCAGGCCATGATCCGTCATCTGTACATAACATAAGAATATTGTTGGCATGAAACTATCACAATATGTGTATACTATGTTTGTTATTTTCGTAATTAGAATGTTCAGTAACTAGTACATTAGTTGATAGAATTTTCGATCCAGGATTTTTTTTATTGACTGCCTCATTGGCCGAGTGGTCGCAAGTGCGACTACCGGGCAAGGGGTCTCGGGTTCGATTCCCTGGCAAAGTATAATTGGGTTTAAAAAAATCTCAGTAGTAGCACGGAGTCTGGAATTGTGCCCGGTATATGGCAATAGGCTCACCCCATATTACATGGGGCTCATAACATAAATAGTGAAAAGTGGTTGTTACATTGTACAGTTGCATAATGTGCACCTCTGGCTTCCCCTTCGAGTAATAAAGGCGTGATGTTATATTAATTTTTTTATTTTGAGTACCTAACTTGGTCCATTCACTCTTTTTTAACATTACTTGCCCACAGACGTTATATACTCACAAATACTTAAGATTGTTAATAATTGTATCTATCTTTCTACCTGTGTTACCCAAATGACAAGTTTGTGCAAAAAAGTCCCTAATTCTGATTAGAGTGATTCATAGCATTTTCTAGATATCTACGCCTTATAATTTGTAATCGTACAAAGCTATTCATTTGGATTAGGTAGTCAAAGTCCTTCAAACATTGTTTATATTAATTTTACGATTTTAAATGATCAACATAGAAACATGCCGTATTAGGGAGGACTATCTTTACTAATATTATAAATCGGAAAGTGAGTTTGTTTGTTCCGCTTTCACGCCGTAACTACTAAACCGATTACTTTGAATTTTTGCAGACGTAAAGTTAGAAGTCCAGATTAAATAATAGGGTACTTTTTATTCCATTAAAAGTATTGGTATAGATGGCGCTGTGTATATTTATATATGTCACATAGGCTCCTTTTTATCCTTTGGTGACGCGAGCGAAGCCGCGGGTAAAAGCTAGTATTTCATAAACTTACACGAGACAACGAGCGGTTCGGCGCAAGGCACCCCCTCAGACAGCCTTGTCGCGTCCTGGCACGTAGCGTTCAGAAACACACTGTTGTTATTCCATCTGGGACCTAGCCAAGTGAACTGGAAGCATCGGGCTTCTCGGTCGTCTTCCTCCTCATTTCTATCGTCATCTTCTGCAGTTATAGACACTGCGCCTGCATTAGAAATAATAAAGATAGTGAAATATTCGAACTAATTCGAAGTTCTTTGTCCATTAATTAAAGTTGTCACGATCTTGTCCAAAACTATTTCGATAGATAGAAAGAATAGCCAAGAATGAAATGTAGAAGTTTTTGTCACTTGTATTCCTTGTATGACGATGATTTGGCTGATCTTGAACTATTTTCAATAAAAGATTCGTCATTCGTGTCCTCACATGTGAAAGGCTGGTGTCTAATCAATATAGAAAAAAATCTGTTAAGAAACTTACATGCCAAAATAATGCACAATGAAATAAAATAATAATATCTGGACATCCTTCAATTTTTGTTGATTCCTCGGCTTAGACTTTGAGATTTATGGTTTCTTCTGAGCACAATAAACACACACTTTATTTTAGAATCATAATAATATGAAATTGTCAATTATCACTTAATTTAATTATTTCCCCACATTGCTGTTTATTGTTTATCAGCGAGTAGAATGATTGTCTTATCAAAATAATTTTAATCTATGCTAGCATTATCAACGCTATATTAAGTACATGCATTCAAAATATTCGGTAAATTAGGACTGATTTTTAAGATATCATATCGAGTTCTTTTAACTAATCTTGATTATTACACATTTTTATCCTTTGTTTGTGGTATTTGAAAGCAATACCTACTTACCTGCACCCACTTATAGCGCACAGATTGGATGCACACAATTTTAATTCGCCTTTATCTAACCCTGTTTATCTAATGCATATCACATTCTTTACAATAAGTCTCTTGCAGTGACTATCTATTTACGATTAAGTACAAAATGATTGAATGGGTTCTTATTCACGATAGACGAGGATATAGGCATCATTGAGAATGGTTTCATGCTTAACTTACTGATGAATATAATAACTTTGGTAGGAACTGAAAAGAGTTCTTCCTATACAAGCTTCATTGTCAATTTACATGACAGTACGGAAGCGATACTAGCCGCGTGGCCGGTGCATGCCAAAATGAAATTATTCCCCGTTCCCTTCCACCATCGGTGGACGATAAGCCGATTTCATCTAACCTCGTTCAATCAGCGAGCTCTGAAACCGAATGCACGCGCACAGATTTTCACCAGAATAGTAATAGCATCTAAATAATATACTAGATTCATAAATTCATTTGAGAAATATCAGTGTAGCACCTATTTGTACTCAGTAGATGCCACAAATGAGGCATTTAGCTTTGTTCGCCCCACAGAAATATTAAAAAATTATATCTGTGGTTCGCCCTATCACATGTATGCATGTAGATCTCAAAAAATGTAATATATTTTCTGGTAAATAGTTTTTCAGTTACGAGACCTTACGCTGCAGTAGAATGTGAGTTAAATGTGGGATATAATAAAAAATGAACGATTAATGTCAATTAAACGTGTAAGTATATCCTAACATTAAAAACGTTCTGTTCATCTAATTGCGTTTTGCTGCTTCACTTAGTCTAAAATAACCTTAATGACTTTATTTACTTAAGAAGAAAATACATTGACGGTGAAAGTTTATAAAGAACCTTAAGTCTAGAATAGGAGAGTACAATGTGTATTTGCACTTGGTATTGTGGAGGCTCTTCGTGTCTGTCTGACACTAGCTGAGAGGTGCAAGCCTTATACTTCCCGCCAACAGCAAGACATACATGGTCACCACTCTCCAGCTTCTAAAAGGATGGGAAAATACATCGCTGGAATTATCCAGCAATATTTCCTCAAAGTTTTGTTACACTGGTTTGTTCTTGGCAAAGTTGTTTACAATTAAAATCAAAATAAATTAGTTAATATGTGATGCTATGTTTGATGACATTTCGACCTTTTCAAAGTTTGCTTTTCGAAGTTTTCTAAAAATAATTTAATAATAATTTACTGGTCTCACTTAGTTTTATACAAATTCAGCTAAATATACCTCTGAGTAACTAGGTATTTCATTTTCTATTGAAGTCATTACCTAATGACGTCTTTAATACAGAATTTTCAAAACAATAAGCTTTCAGTTGTAAACACAAAAACAATAACAACAGATATAGACCCACATGAAAGGTATGGACAGATTACTGACAAAGGTACGAGTACTCGAAACCTGATAACATGACAAGCAGACAATAAGCCTTCATCAGCAGCCCTCTATCATGCTAGCTAAGTATACTTCGAAATGTAGAATAGAATAGCATTTATGAATAGTGAATCGACATGTCTATTAAATATTATAGAGGTATATTTGAGCACATAATCTGGAGTAGCACGGAGTCTGGAATTGTGACCGGTATATGGCAATAGGCTCACCCCTATTACATGGGACGCATAAGATAAAAAGTGGGTGTTACATTGTACAGTGGTATAATGTGCACCTCTGCTTACCCCGTCGGGGATAAAAGGCGTGATGTTATGTTTGAGCACAACCTTATTTCATAGTCTTTTAGAGTATGTAGACTTCATTTTTGATAACCTAGTTATTCAAAGAGCAGTTTTGTAGCTTACAATATTTTACATGTTTTTATAATAACTATCGTGAGACATACTAAATTAAGTAAAAACGCGGGTTACTCACGTGAATATACTGAGAAAAGCTCTACTAGTTTCGAACCACAGAGGGGTTCTTCCTCATGAGCAGCGTGCGCGGTCGCGGCGACGTCGCGAGCTTTTCTCAGTATATTCACGTGAGTAACCCGCGTTTTTACTTAATATTTTACATGTATAATAAAATTGATTAAAAGCTTGTGTTGCAACTTGCATAACTATCGGTCTTCCGGAATTTATTGTGGGTTATGTGAGGTTGTTTCTTGTGCGTAATTTTTAACGTTTTCTACCACATACCTACTATGTTGTTGAAGTTTGAACCATCGTTTTTATGATGAATAGCTACAGGTTTTAATAATATGGTCCTAAGAAGGTTTTCCTTTACGTTCTTGCTATTACTTGTAATTACAATTTTTTGATCAGATTTGGTTTAGTGGTTATCCTAGTTATTTTACAGTTGCAAAGCAAATTCATACTTACGTTATCAGGCGACCATTTATTGCAAAATTGTTAGAAATATATTGAGTCCATCTCGTCGATAGTAACCTTCACTAACTTGACTTGCTTATTCTTCTTAAAAGTACCATTTAATTACTTTCTCAAGGTCAATCTTACTAAACCTGACCTATCTTAGTACAAGATTTCATCGTAACTTGTTTAGAAGTTTAGGGGAGAACGCGTCGCAGACAGAGAGACAGAATTACTTGGTTTATGTTTAGTTATATGTTGTGTACGTAGACGTATGTGCAAAAAGGATTTTCTTCCTACGTATTTTAATATAGGCAGAATTTAGTACTTTTCCCAGACCATTTTGAATTCTAGATTAACTTATAAAGTACACAAAACGGCTTTCATTAATCTTAGTTTCATAACTTAAAGGCCTCTTTGTTTCTTTCAGCGCCCCTGCTTAGTAGGAAACGGGTTTAATTAAGATATCATGGGAAATAAACCTCTCAACTTAGTAAAATATTAGTCTCTAGAAGTCTGGATTTGTAACGAATTGTATTTTTACTTGATTACGCATTGCCTGTTTTTTCAGAAAGAGTTTTCTGTTCAGCAAACTGTTAACTTTTAGTCGTATTACATGTATTTAGACAATTAACTAAAAAATATTAAATATGCCGACTAAAGTAGCAGTATTATGATGTACGGTGTCGCTACCTATAATATCTCTGTATTTACCTTCATCTATTTTCTCATTGATAAATCTAGCATAGAGTAATATTTTGACCAACCAGGGAGTCGAACCCAGGACGTTTTTGTAACTAGCACAGTGCTTTGTCAATTGTCTTAGGTTCAATGTCTAACAGATCATACAATCTCAGTAGGTTTAAAATAAGTTATAGACAGACACATTTTATTTATTTGTTTAATAGTATAGAACCCACTTATTCTAAGCAATACATGTATTGTACAAAAGTATAAAATACGTTTATGGAAGCTATCTACAACTATAGCTATAGGTAGGTTTAGGTACAATTATGTACAAGAGTACTATTCATAAATAATAATTATTTACAAAGCAATTACTGGGTACGAAGTAAATTGCGTTACATTAGTTATCTCTATTACGGGTAAACATTACCTCCACGTACGGTTTGCTAGCGAACGCATCGCGTAGCGCCGGGCTCACAAAACTTTATAAGAAATACAACTCCAGAGTTTTCATGTTTTCACAAAGGCTATAAATCCCACCGTTCTGCTGCTTTTGCACTGTTTACTGTTCACCTACTCGCAATACAGTTTATCACGTGCACTACAACAACGCATTCACAGTTTAAAGTTTCGTTTCTCGTGCAAAAGTTACGTGTTATCATCACATACACTGCTGAACACAATTTTTAACTTATAGTCCGCACTTATTGATTTTCCTTACAATATTTACTGGTCTACTTATCCTACGTAGGGGAAGGGTGCGAATGGCGGCTGATAGAATCCAGGGTACGCAGGCGGAGCAGCAGTGGGTTGCACTGCGATCGATGATGTCACGTATGACGTCAACACGGTTGGCACAACTTGAGTGGTGAATAGGGTGGTGTACACCGTCTTCGCACCAAACGTTAATTTTAATACTTGACTATTGGTAGCTGTAACCTCTGTGTTCACCACGACAGGCGTTGAAATTACCGAGAATTGCTGCGGGAACAGTGGGTTGAGTGTTTGTAAAGGCAGCGCTGGTAAACTGCTGGTTCCGATTTCGTATTCTGTTTTGGTTATAGTAGCTATAGGCCTAGAAATAGTACTTTGAACTGTCGTCTTGCCATCATACACTGGAATAACGTGAGATTCATAAATAGTTTCGTACTTGATTACAGGTTTAGATGTGGTGACAACATCAGGAATTTGAGCAGCCGCTGCTGGATTCAGGAGTCTCAAGAGAGCAAGCTGTTGTGCCTGTTCTGGAGTCAATGCAGGAGTGGGTGGGTTGGGTGATTCAGTCACATGGTTACCTTTGTTTTGACCATGAGCTTTCTTAAGTCTCAAATGATTTTCATGCATTCTGTATTTGTCAACTTCAGTAAGGTCAAAGTCTGATCCGATATTAGCAAGATCAAGGTCTGGCGGGAATACGCGTCTTGGAACTCCATCTTCGTCTTCATTGCTATCACCAAAGTCTAACTCCAGATGTAATTCGGAACCAGCCTCATCCAGACGACTGTTAAATTCTTTAAGAGTTTTGCTCGGTATAAATTGGAAGAAGTCCATAGGGGGTAACGTTTTAGTTGCAGTTACGAATCGAGTAACTTCATAAGTTTGAATGAAAGTTAAGCTACTAGTCAAGTTTACGTCTTTCACTACGGGTAAAATATGAGTTTTCAACATGTGCTGAGTTGTGCTGAATGTTTCAGTAACAGTTTCTAGCGGCGGTGTTTCCATGTCTGAAGATAATGTTATCGCGGGTAGAGTAGCTATACTTGAGTCTAAGAGATTATGGTCCTTTTCATAAGGAG